CTGAATTCACTCTTTCATTGTTTTTTTGTTGTTTTCTTTTATTTAATTGAAGTTACAGTTTTGTCATATTGTTTAATTTGTCATTTTAAGTAGTTTTTTTCTTAAAATGTCTATATAGTTTTTATAAATGTTTATTTCGTTTGAGCTTTAGTTTAGTGCATCAAGTTAAACTAAATGAAAATGTGAAATGTTGCTTAAATAAAATCATTTTTTAATATTTTGTTTCATTTCAGTTAACGTTTATTTTATTTCAAGTAGTGACAATGTTTTTTTATGGTTTTAGTTTAATGTCAGATGCAGGGTTTTTGAGCTGAAATGAATGCAAAAATTCAAAACTCACTCAAATATTATTATGTCCCTTAAATTTAGTTATAGTTTTAATAATTTTGTTGTGTGGTTTGTCATTTTAATTAGTCTTTTTTTGTACTGTCTATATAGTTTTAATTCATTTTTATTTCAGTTTTAGCTTTAGTTATTTTATTACATGAAGTTAAATTAAATGAAAATGAGAAGTTGCTAAATTAAAATCAATTTAAGTCCATTTTTATATTTTATTGAATTTCAGTTAATATTTTATGTAACAAGAATGTGTTTATGGTTTAAGTTGAACTATAATATAAAATGCAGGGGGGGGGGGGGTTTATCTGAAATTAATGGGAATTTTGTTTTTCATCAATCTTTTTTTCTCAGATGTTTACGTGAGACTCTGTTTGCCTGATTTCGTGATCTTGTGTACATGGGATCTGTTTTGGTTTTTTTTAACATTCTAGAAGTTAGTATTTATTTAGTTTTTAAACGCTTCAAAGGCTTTTTTAAGTAAATTAATACTTTTTTTCATCAAGGCCGCATTAAATTGATTAAAAGTGACAGTAAAGACATTTATAATGTTACAGAAGATTTCTATTTCAAATAAATGCTGTTCTTTTGAACTTGTTATTCATCAAATAATCCTGAAAGATGCAATGTATCACAGTTTCCACAAAAATATTGTGCAGCGCGACTGTTTTCAACATTGATAATAATCAGAAATGTTTCTAATAAATCAGCATATTATACTGATTTCTGAAGATCATGTGACACTGAAGACTGGAGTAAATTCAGCTTTTGATCAGAGAAATAAATTACAGTTTAACAGATATTCACATAGAAAACAGCTGTTTTAGATTGTTATAATAAACACTGCATTTTAAGACAACATGGGCTTTTCCCGTGTGCTGCAGGATGTGGGTTCATCTGATTTATTGTAATGAGTTTTAATTTAAGCTTCAGGCCGTCTGGATCAGCTTGCTCTAAGAAGAAATGGCATTTATTTCACAAAAATGTAACTATAATATAAAATGCAGGGTTTTTTGGGCTGAAATCAATGCAAAAAAAATCTGAATTCACTCTTTCATTGTTTTTTTGTTGTTTTCTTTTATTTAATTGAAGTTACAGTTTTGTCATATTGTTTAATTTGTCATTTTAAGTAGTTTTTTTCTTAAAATGTCTATATAGTTTTTATAAATGTTTATTTCGTTTGAGCTTTAGTTTAGTGCATCAAGTTAAACTAAATGAAAATGTGAAATGTTGCTTAAATAAAATCATTTTTTAATATTTTGTTTCATTTCAGTTAACGTTTATTTTATTTCAAGTAGTGACAATGTTTTTTTATGGTTTTAGTTTAATGTCAGATGCAGGGTTTTTGAGCTGAAATGAATGCAAAAATTCAAAACTCACTCAAATATTATTATGTCCCTTAAATTTAGTTATAGTTTTAATAATTTTGTTGTGTGGTTTGTCATTTTAATTAGTCTTTTTTGTATATGTCTATATAGTTTTAATTCATTTTTATTTCAGTTTTAGCTTTAGTTATTTTATTACATGAAGTTAAATTAAATGAAAATGAGAAGTTGCTAAATTAAAATCAATTTAAGTCCATTTTTATATTTTATTGAATTTCAGTTAATATTTTATGTAACAAGAATGTGTTTATGGTTTAAGTTGAACTATAATATAAAATGCAGGGGGGGGGGGGGTTTATCTGAAATTAATGGGAATTTTGTTTTTCATCAATCTTTTTTTCTCAGATGTTTACGTGAGACTCTGTTTGCCTGATTTCGTGATCTTGTGTACATGGGATCTGTTTTGGTTTTTTTTAACATTCTAGAAGTTAGTATTTAT